TGAAGCTGCTGCTGCTGCTGTTATTGTTGTTGTTGTTTTTATTCAGGCTAAAGACGCGTATTATACATTTGGGCAAGTAACTCGCTATGTCAGGAAAGGATCATATGTTCTTTCCTCTGTTGAAGTAGTGAATCCTGGAAAACCCGCAGATGGTATACACCCGGCAGGGGTAGAGGCTATGGCTACTATCAATCCTGATAGAACTGAAGTCGTTATTCTTGTGAGCTCATAGCATTTTACCATTTCAGTTCTCTAACAAAAGTCTTTTTTAGATAATACGTGATGAGGAAGACAAGGAGCATGCGTCTACGTTTGATATCGATGTTGAACTTGGTGACGGTCAGCATGTTACAGTTACCCTTGAGAATGTTGAGAACCTCAGTGTTTCAACACTCGTTGTAAAAGGCAGATTTTGACCCGTCTGCTATCCACGGATTCACCCAATGTGAATGTGGATGTCACGTCCCCAGAGTTCTTTCGGTTAACTTCGATCACGGAGTCTTGATATTATGTGAGAACTCTGAAACCCTTTTTCTCCTTGTCCCGTTAATGATTGTTCATCAAGGTCTTCAGTCCCATTTTGTATACTCTCATACTGAATTGTGTTGAGGGTAAGTATCGCGACATAGTCGAGCAACAATAATATGTGCACACGGTCACCTACAGTGTTGAATCAAGACACTGACTATGTGCATTAACACGCGGAAAGACACCATTAAACGATATTCTTTTCCTCCTTGTTTTTGTTGTGAAAAGCGTTGGTCCCTCGATTAGGAATCAAATTGTTGAGAACAATACGATAACGGTCGGATGAGGCTCACAAAGTGGATAGTCGGGCTTGATGGCCAGGCACAAAAGGTCAAGGCCCCGTCGCTCTTATCGCATGGGGAATGGCAGAAGTCTCTCACCGTATACAAATTAGGTCTTGTGATGCTGGGTGGGCATCGATTGCTGATCTCGGGGCGTACTAGGCCTGGTAACCAGACTCAAGGGGATGGGGTTATGAAGGTAGTTCGAGGGCGCCGGATAGGATCAATGAGAGACGGTAAATACGGGGATGGGAAGCGAGATCACTCTCCAACCCGATTTGCCAGCTCCGGAGAGAAGAGTCAAGAAGTCTGCTTCGCTTAACAAAGAGGAGCTCCGGACCGGAGCCTCCGGTCCACACAGGCGTTAGTTGTTCGATGGGCAGGAGGCACGTGTGTATGGGTTGCAAGCAACCTCACTCACTCCCGCGTGCAAGAGCGGGCACGACAAGAAAGAGTACTGGTACAGCGACAAGAAGGGGAAGGTCGAGGTGGTGGGGTCTCTTACGGACATGGTCGTTTTGCCCGTGCATCCAAATTCATTGAAGATGCTATCGACATGGCCCAGGAGAGGGGCGGGTTCTAGAATCTGGAGTTCCTGTCGAATCGACAGTGTCGATTGACTTTAGGTCTGCGTTCAAACTAAACCCTGTCGCCAACTCCGAGCGATTCTGTCAAATATGCCGATTCGGCAGTTTCTACATCAAGTTCAATGTGCTAAAGTTTGGCACCGGATCATCCCCGCTGGTTTTATGCAGGATTTCGAGTTGTGCGGCACAACTTGCTCCTATCGGTTGGCTCAACTGCTGTTCTCGGAGTCAGAGTTGAGGATATTTTGCTATGCGGGACCCACATAGCGGGTGATCCGCGGTTATCATGCGAGGCCCTGCTTACAGTATGCGGACGCTGCGGATGCTGACGGTTATCCTACCTTGGGAGTGCCTGGGGATCCCTTCGGCGATAGAGAAAGGGCAGCGGGGCGTTTCCATGGAGTGGATCGGGATGCGTTTCGTCCTCGACCGGAATGAAGTCCTGGTGTCTGTACGGTACAGACTGTACCGGCCGATAAAACTTCGGCGATGCCATCGCCGCGATGGGCAAGTTGGCTACGGAGATGTTGGAGAACGGCTGACGTCGTCGAGTGAATTCCTAAGGACATTTTGCGAGAAGGCAGCATTGGCTGGGAATGTGGTCCCCAACCTATTTGCATTTCTAGCCTAGGAATCCTAGGACCGCTGTGGCGCATCTCGGCTCACGCACAGGCGCCCCAGAAGTCGTTCGTGTCGTTGGCGAAGGGCGTGACTCGCTTTGGTGGTTATGGTTGTTCCTACGTTCGGCACTTTTGAACGGCTCTCAAGCTGCTGAGTCACACTGTCTAACCAGAGCGTACCGTCTGTCGTCCAGAAAACGTCCGAGGGCGTGTATCATCGTTGACGCGTCTCCTTCGGGAATAGGCGGTATTCTCAACTGGGGCCCTTCCCACAAGAAAGCGACTCCGATATCCTACTTTGCCGATCTCATTTCGGACCACGACGTGGCGATTCTTGAGGCTGACCGTGGATCCTGCAGGTCTCAGTCATCCCTCGAGCTTCTGGCCATCATCGTCGCCCTGAAGCTGTGGGGTTCGCGACTCGCCGACTGCAGCCGATTGGTCTTCGAGACGGATTCCCTTGGTGGCCCTCAAAGTGCCGAGACAGTGCTGCGACTATCCTGAGAGAACAATCTTCGTCAGAGATTATGAACCGGCTCGTCGCAAAGGTCGCGCTGATGGCTGAATTCGGCAGTAAAATTCTATCAGTACGGTATCGTCAGGTTGATTGCCCATCAATGTGACGATACAACTCCATCAATGATGGAGTTGACAATCACATGGCAGACGCGCTCAGCAGACTCTCCGAGGGGAAGAGGCTACGATCAGCTGTGGGGGTTATTTTCCCGGCGCGAGACGAGAAGTTTTGGTCAGAGGCCGTTCCAACCTCCATTGCCGGACGTGATGGCCTAGCTGTGCGCGGATGACCGGGTAGTTGACTCGATCAATGTTTCCGAGTAGATTTGCTAGAGTAGCTCAGTTGCTCAGTTTGCAACTCAGCTCTAAGTCGCGCTGTGACCATGCGACGCATGGAATGCGTAGCTGTTCGGACTCCGAACTTCGGAGACAATGGCTTGTCCACGATGAGACTTGTCGAAGCGCGGTTGTGTGCATCACTTCGCCTAGCTCTTGATCGCGCTGTGTCCATACGTAGCTGTTCGAGGGCAGTGGCTTGTCCACGATGGAACTCATTCAGACTCTGACATCAAAGCCGAATCTTTAGGGCATCGGAGTCATTCATATTCGGGTCCACCGCGACCACGTGTTGCTACTCATCCCTTTGAAGAAGCGTGTGTTGTCTGTAGAGGACTTCCGGTGGTGCATGCGGTTGCCTTTTCATCTGGTTGATAGATCGGCGCTCTCGGTCATGATGTGACCGCGGTTCGCATCTTCGTAGCAGTGGCTGCCCATGATAGGGTAAGGTGGAGCTAGGCTGTGCCTGAGGCGTTTCTTGTCCGTATCTCCCAATGGCTAGATTTAGGCGTCGGTGGCAATTGTGGATATGGACTCGTGAATCCCGTTAGGCGACTATTCAGTGAGTCTGGTGGAGAGTTGTTGTTCGTTACATGCCAGAACGCCGCGGCTGCCGCGGCGCGGCATCCCTCTAAACACCAGCCGGGGAAGCATCATGGAAGTGAGGCGATCGGTGCCGCCGGGAAATGTCGAAGGACGTCGGCAGGTGAGGCAGATCCTGCGGGCGAGCATGTTTGCGACATCAACGCGTCGATCGAACGACTCGAGGGTAAAACTGTGGATCGTAGTGTGCTGATGGCATGGCTTATCGCCATTTCCCATTACTCGCGAGTCCCCTGGAGACGCGGCGGATTGTTCCCACAACTCACTGCTCGGGTTCTCACTCGGAGATGCAGAGAGAGCCTGTCTACAGAGAGTGAACGGGCCTTCAAACGAGGGACGGAGCTGAGAGCAGTGCTGCTCAATGCCATTGAGCAATGCCCACAGCCCACAGGAGAAACGCAGAGCGGCTAGCTACATCCTCGGGAGCTGGTTCCTGTTGGTGGGAGCGGAACTGTGTAATCTCAAACTGTCAGACGTTGCAGTGGACGAGGGAAACAAAAGAGTGGAACTTTATGTTACGGTGAGCAAAACTGATATCAAGTGAGTAGGTGAGAGTAGGGAGTATGGGCGTACATGGGTATATATGTGAATAGGATATCGGGGAAATCGACCGTGAGCTTTGACTCGTGAAAGCAGCGCTAATACTGGTGGATATTAGGAGGATAGAGTATGGGTCTGGGGAATATCAGCTTCTACTCGATGCTCTAGGCCAACATCTGCGGCAATCACCTTTAAGAGAGTGGTTATGAAGAGACTTGGAGATGGCAGGGAGTCGTGGGCCGACCGCTCTCTGCTTGCACAGTCTGCGACGGGGTGGGAGCCACATGCAACCAAATCAGAACTCGGTTCTGAGAACCGTCGTCCGAAGGTTGTGGGATGCTCTGTGACTAGTGGTCTCGTGGCCTAATGGATAAGGCGTTGGTCTTCGGAACCAAAGACTGTGGGTTCGAGTCCCACCGAGATCGTTTTATTCCCCACCGCGTCTCCTTTTTCGAGCGGTGTGGTATTTGGAAGATTCTGCGATATGATATGGTGTCGTAGTTTCATGTGTAGGGTGTTGACGTTAAAGTATACTAATGCTTAAAGTTAGTGTTATATTGATATTACTAGGATAGCACTTAAAGTTAGTGTTATATTAATATTACTAGGATAGCACTTAAAGTTAGTGTTATATTGATATTACTAGGATGGCACTTGAAGTTAGTGTTATATTAATATTACTAGGATGGCACTTAAAGTTAGTGTTATATTAATATTACTAGGATGGCACTTAAAGTTAGTGTTATATTAATATTACTAGGATGGCACTTGAAGTTAGTGTTATATTAATATTACTAGGATGGCACTTAAAGTTAGTGTTATATTAATATTACTAGGATGGCACTTAAAGTTAGTGTTATATTAATATTACTAGGATGGCACTTAAAGTTAGTGTTATATTAATATTACTAGGATGGCACTTAAAGTTAGTGTTATATTAATATTACTAGGATGGCACTTAAAGTTAGTGTTATATTAATATTACTAGGATGGCACTTAAAGTTAGTGTTATATTAATATAATCAATAATGACCACTCTGTGTGGGAGTTCGGTAGAAAGAGTCTTAAAGATCTGTGATGAAGTCTCAAAAGATGTCGGTATGGAAACAACGCCTTTCGTCGTCGATTGGTAATTGCCATATTTACGTGAGGATTTCAATTTTGATGATTAGGAAAAAACAAATCGGAAAATTATATTTTCAGCATATTAGTAACACTACTGTTGGACATGCGAACTGCCTTATATAAATTTCCTCATATTTGAAATTGTCATCACCAACAAATGTAGTTGATGACCATGTGCATATTTCTCGATAATTTTAGCGAACTAAACACTTATGGATAATTACATTTTCTACATGGCATTTTTCAAGACTACGTAACGCTTCTAAAACGTTGGTGTCAATCGATTCACATTGTTATCATGTTAATATTACTAAAAGTTGACTTTCGAACTCCCCAAAAATTGAAGGCGAAGTTGAAAATATTATTCTGGATAAGCATTTGGTTCACACGGCAGGAATCAGTGTTGGAATAAATTTCCTCACTAATTATACAAGTTTACATACAAATTCGGGTAGAAGTGTATGGAAACCAATGAGAATTTCCTCAATTTTCATTCTCAAAATTTCACCTACATATATATGTAGTTGACTACGTGCATATTTTTCCATACCGGCAAAAAGTGATAGTTAAATTTCGGAGTGAAACTTCATTACTATTTTCCGCAGGTACAACGACTTTCGAATAGAAGTTGCTCCGGAATTACCACAACTAATTGAAGTTTCCGGAAGGAATCGTTTGGGCGTGATTTGCATTTCTAACAAAAATTTCTTTCGAGGTGAGTTTTGATATTTTTCATTTTTCATCATTTATACCATCAGTTTCGCCGTGATGTTTTCCATATATGAAATTATTTCAGATTGGCCGTTTCCCTATAATCTGTTTCTATACATCTTTCTTGTGTGAAAATGTTTTATACTTTTATATATGTTTTTGGTGATAATGACAATCTTATTTTTCTGCGCGATGCGAGTGATAGCGGAATTTTTTTTTCAGCGAAAATTTTCATTTACTCATTGTAGCGTTATCTTCTGTGGGGCACTCGAAATTTCTGAGTATTTTCTCTCATTTCACAAAGGCTTTGTGCACGCGAATGCAGAATTTCCTGCATTTTTTTCAGATTAGTTCTGATGAAAATTTATGATTTTTTTGATAGAATTTAGCTCACAAATCATAAAAGGAAATATAAAAAACTGAGCTTAATGAATTTACTCGCGAAAAAAAATTTTCGGCAGAAAAATTACGCGCCTTAGAACTTGCGACCAACTAAAGAGTGTCTTCCAGGAAAGCATCCAGTTTTGAGAAATAACGTTACCCGTGGTTTGATAACAATTGGGAAAATGATGGTCCTAATGTGATTATGACATTTTTAACTGATTGAAGAATGTGTTCCTTGCCATACGTGGAATATTCAAAATGAGTTACCCCTTCTCGGGAACCTTATAGGTTCCTGGATGATTTCCTGTATGGTTCCTGATGAGTTCCTGTTTTTCACTGAGTATTGCGCCACTTCACGTAAAACTGGTTGGGAAACTCCAGTGTTGGAGGAATATATATTTCCTTTCCTCAGCAGAGTTCATACAAGTTTACATACGAATTCAGAAGTATACAAAAACCAACAATAAGACTCTCTGAAAATTCCAACATTGTTATCACCAAACTCCAATGTAATGTAGGTGCTGTTCTTGAGGCTTATAGTAAACGTGTTAACGACGGTGAAAACGTAGAGGAAAAGTTCGATTTCGTTTCGGAGGGCAGCGATTTCATCGGGAGAAAACTGAAACCGTAGGAGCTCACCGGCGTTTTATTTATATCATTTTGCGATTCTCAGATTGTTGGTTGAAGAGCTGTCGTGTGAGGATCACATCGTTAAGGTCATGAATGTGGACAAGCCGCCTTTTTTACACGTAAATTGGGGAAATTTCGGGGGGCTTTACTATTCAGGAAAGCAAAGACTCTGGTGATCCTGCGGTAAAATTGATGTTCTTGTATGCTGCATTAACTTCATATGATCATATTCGTTGGAGTTTCACAACCCGTAAATGGCGCGATGTTAGGTGGAAAACCCGATATTCGCGGTGATATGCAGAAGTCGTGAAATATTGTTTTTCATATCACTAGGGTGAAATTACAGTTGGAGTATATGTTCGCTTTCCTCAAGGGTTGGAGTATAAAATTTTTCGAAATTTTAATATTATCACTAGGTACAATCACTTGGTCAAGTTGCCGGTCTCGATATGCATTTATCCCCGGAGTTTTTACAAGAAGGGCCTGAGAAAATCGAATGGGAAGTTGAAGTGCGAGAGGCCATGCATGATGTGCGCGATAAGGATCTCTGGGGGTCCGCGTATGATAAAGTGAGTCAGCGTTGGGGGGAAAATATGCACATAGTAAACCACATGTGTTGGCGATGATTACAATATCAAAATTGTGAGGAAATTTTTCGCTTTTTTTCCGGTTTCTGTACACCAAAACTGTCATGTAAAATTATATAATTCGTGAGGAACTCAGCTGCAGAAAGCAAGGTAATATTCCTCCAACACTGCGGAATACATTTTGTTCGATTTTTCTAAACATTTTTGTGACCACGCAGCACTGATCAGCAACTGATGAAATTCGCTCTACCGTAAACTCGGTGAAAAAGGCGATATTCGCGGTGATATGCAGTAGTTGTTCATATCACTAGGGTGGTGAAACTCCATCATATGTGAATAAGTAGAGTTAGATTTATCGTAGTTTTCGCGTAGGTTCTACCCTTGAACCTCCATCCGAAGTACGGCGGATGGTATGCGTATCGTCTAGTTATTGTTATTGATCTCGAAGTAAGTGAAAAACATTGTATGCCTATTCGTGAGATTATAAATTTTTACGCAAGTGGTGACAGTTTGGAGGAAAAAAATTGTCAACTAAA